TTTCTTTCTGATTTGTACTGCGTGTCTCAGACACGCAGAGACAGCTTTGGAAAGCAAATACGTCCTTGAAACCTAAATTACGTAATTACATTGAGTTCAAGAGTACCTTACAACCGGAGAAATATTTATCTTTAAATTGCAATCTGAAACTCGTCCGCATTTTTGCCTGTTTTCGTTGTGGGGTTTTACCACTTAGAATTGAAGAAGGTAGGCGCGAAGGCTTGCCTTCAACGGAAAGATTCTGTAAAGTATGTCGTGCTAATTTTGTTGAGGATGAATATCACTTTCTGTTGATTTGCCCAGCCTATAACACGTTAAGACGAGAGTTAATCCCCCAACATTTTTCATTCCAACCAACCATGGATAAATTCCAAAGGCTTGTTCAAGCAACAAATGGTGTTATTCTACGAAATATTTGTGTGTTTGTGCACAGAGCATTTGAAGTTAGGAAACAATTGTTAACAAATTAATTATTATTTAATTCCATGTGATCATTAACCGAGAATATTATCATATTCTTCTTGTACCCGTTACATTTTAAGCATTGGTTTGATATGTTTGTATATGGGCCGGTGGCCTAGGAAAGCAATAAATACTTATTATTATATATAAAGAGATCTGAAGACACAGCAGTGGGAGTGTGATTTGTTAAAAAATAAGTTGAGTCATAAGAAGAAAAAGGCGGAAGAGATGAAGATGAAAATTATCCCTCTTATTATCTTATTATACAAACAAAACACAACAGTCACAGATGGAACTAGGAAGAAAATTAACACTCTCAAAGGCGAACTTGAAAAGAAACTCAATATATATTGCTGAAAGATTTAATAACCTACACCATTACTTAGATGATGTTGTAAATAAAGAAATTGGTCTCATTGAGAAAATGTTATCTAATAAGAGAACGCTAATGCAGAAATGATAAAATGATCAAGAACAAGGTTGGGCAACTGTTTCATCTCCTACAAAAGAAGGGAAAAAATCAAGTACCAATACATTTGATAAGAATACACCCGCATTATTAACACCCAATAAGCAACAAATTGTATCAAATAAACCAACACAAAGAACGTATTCCGCTGAATCATCGTGGTTACCATGGTAAAATCACCAATGGAGTAGAATATATCATCATGAGTGATTCTCAAACATCCAACAATAAACAACAATATAATATAATAAACCCCAAATTACCAACATGTAATTATTCCTGTGCAGTATGACCAAAAGAAGACACTGGGGAAGAGAGAGAATCAATACTATGGAAAGGCTAAATGACGTAATCAACTCTCTTGCTGATAACCGATACACATTTGAAGGGTGTTGGTCGTCGCGCCACGCATGCGCGGGATATGGGACTCATATGAACAAAGATGGCAACGTTTGACCATTGCGCAAACCAAGCTTTAACTATGTATTTTTCGGCGATTGGAATGTATCGAAAGAGTCACCGGTCATAATTAGTGCGCATGTTGCGCCCAGGTCAAAACTCCTACTCGTGATTTCCATTAGAAGAGCGGTTTGGATTATGGGAAAATCTTTTTTTATCAACTTGAACACAAATGCCGTACATGCGCAACGCAACGACAGTCGCCCTCAAAGTTATTCTGCATTTTTGTTCAAGAAGCCATACTCATATTTAGGAATACATACCGGGGCTATGTATCCATTTCTCTATGAAATGGTCGAACACAAACACCTGCGTTCCTTAATCAAGGTTCCCTCAAACTCGTATTCATTAGTGAATGAATCTCAGCTAGTTTAATTGGCTTTCCCATTGAGTCTGTAGCACACTCAGCCAAGGTAGTGGTCAATACTTTTTCAATTGAATTTTGAAATGCCGATCACTTTTCTGATGCAACAACCACTATATTTTCAAATAATGGTCCAAGCAACTACATATATAATGCAGTCAAAAAAAACTTGAACGTCACTGCTACAAAGATCGTGCCTAGAAGGACTCAACACTAAAGGGCGCGATTTGTGGGAATGGTGTATTCTGTCCATCACTGTAGGCATTCCCGGCGAGCCACTGAAAGTAAACCTATCTAGACATGGGAGTTGTTGCACAGAATGAATATGTCCACCTGGGGTACTCACAAGACTTTATCCCAGATGGTGATCTAATACTAGTATATCAAATGTTATTTCTGTTGTAATACTTAATTATCTTTTCTAAATGTTTTCAGCATAAATATCATAACGAATGATTAATTTATGGATTAGCTGAAAGAAAACAAAACAAAATGGATTTTGACAGTAAGTATAGTTTTTAATGTAATATTATTCATTGCTCACAACCACATCCTGTGTCTAACTTTACACTGTACACATTTATGAATATTTATACATATCAACGCGAGATTTCATTAAAACTGAAATTTGTAATGATTGGCGCCTCAAGAGCTAAACATTGTCTTCGCCCATACTGCGTGTGGATTTCATCAATAATATCTGAATGTGACGTACAGTCTACGGCCGCGCACTTATTCATGCCATGCAACGCGTATTCGGTGATATTAGACTAACTTATTATTATTAAAGCGGGAGGGTCGTCACCTGCGCACGCGCGGGAATTGAGTCCCAAGCGATGATAACAACACACGCTAAAAACGCAAATGCTCATGGGTAGACGCTTGTTTGTAAAAAAAAAAATGACACGCTATGGCCATACTCTCTATGTCAAGACACTAATTACTCTAACACTAACACTAACGTCCATGCCCGTTTGATAACACTTTTCTTTCGTTATTTCAACACAAATTCCCCATCATTCAATGCGATAATGACGTCATTATAAAGCCCCCTCCCTAGCTAACCAACCAGACATTCTGCATCCTCATGGGGTTAGTCCTACCTGAGCAACGATATTTCTTAACTGAACAACTGAATATATTTATTTTCATATTATTTCATTCATGTTTTGAAATAGAGGCCGTTAATTCGGCTAAAAGAAAATTAATTTTCAGGATTTCATACATTGTTATAAACAGTTGTTTAGCAGACATTATCTACTAGTAATATATCTTGTTTAACAACACAAATGTAGATAGTTAATCCTTCTCGGAGAATATATAAATTATATATATATTCCATGTGTGGTCAAGACAAGATCGCAATATTTTGACCACGGAATTCGTTTATATTGGCATGGCATAACTCATACAAAGTGTGA